TCGAAGATATAGGAGCAGCCTTGCTGCTGCTTGCTGTGGCTGCGGCTACCACTCATGCTTTTTCCCTCATCAATTCTATGATTCACCTCATCCTTCATAGACCCATCTGCTGACACATCCACGTGTTGCTGCTGTTTTTCACCTTCAAGATATGTTCAGTCAACAAGTTAGCATTTTTTTCTCCTGTCAATGACTGCATCAGTAGTGATGTACAGTGATTAGTAGGTTGATGTTTGTTGTCACTGCAGTTGCTTGTGGTAATCAACAGTGTTCCTCTTGACACCTTGCAAGTAATGTATACCTGGAGAGGGTTTCAGGGGTCAACGCCCCCGTGGCCCAGTCTGTGACCAGTCCTCGTGGTCACTCAGGGTCTGATCAACCAGGCTGTTACTGTTGGCTGCACACAACCCGACGTACGAAGCCCAGCCCAGCTGGTCAGGTACTGACTTTAGATGCCTGTCCAGCACCTTCTTGAAGACTGTACACACAGACACCCTAAAACCTTCCATAAATGTATCAATTAACAATCTCGCTGCCTCAGCCATCTTCTTCTTCTTCTTTTGAGTGCACTAATGAGAGTTGACATTTGATGAGGGGTGTCTTATCTTATCTCTCCATTAATGAGAGTGTTGACATTTGATGAGGGGTGTCTTATCTTATCTCTCCATTAATGAGTGTGTTGACATTTGATGAGGGCACACTGCCTTCCCTTTACTTGTTTTCACTTTACACATAAACATGTCTGTCTATCTGTCAGCTTCTCTCTTTTTCTGTCTGTCTATCTGTCTACCTGCTTCTCTTTCTGTCTCTCTCTGTCTCAGAGAGAGCCACTAGTGAACCAACATGTTTTACACTCAATGCAGTAGTCACGTCTGAGTGTGATACTTATTATTTGCAAGTCCGGATTTTTTGGGTTATCCTAGGTAGTTCACATTATGTATAATTGTATTTATGTGTACCTGTGACAGAGACACACACACACATGTACAACAGGCCGCCTAGTGTCTAATCGACATGTGCCAAAGACAAAATGGTAACTAACACATACACAGAGAGAGAGAGAGAGAGAGAGACAGACAGACAGACAGACAGACAGACAGACAGACAGCCAGACAGACAGACAGCCAGCCAGCCAGCCAGACAGCCAGCCAGACAGCCAGCCAGACAGCCAGCCAGACAGCCAGCCAGACAGCCAACCAGACAGCCAGCCAGACAGCCAACCAGACAGCCAGCCAGACAGCCAGCCAGACAGCCAGACAGCCAGACAGCCAGCCAGACAGCCAGACAGCCAGACAGCCAGCCAGACAGCCAGACAACCAGACAGCCAGCCAGCCAGCCAGACAGCCAGCCAGCCAGCCAGCCAGCCAGCCAGCCAGCCAGCCAGCTCCCTTCTCTATTAACCCCACTGCCTCCCACCCCCCCTTACTGCCTATCCCCACCACTCAGAATGCTGGAAAGTGAGGCATTCCTTACGCTTGGCTTAGTTGCAAAGGTGCACTGAATTACCACTCTCACAATGCAATGCGGGTGCAGATTTTTTTCCTACTGCACACACTTACGACATAGAGCTTATCAGCTCTCTCCTGCTCAATTTGAAGGAGCTAGAATTTATGCATACTAGTACGTCAATAACCCTGGCTCATAAGCCGAACTAGAACGTCGGAAACCCTGAAAGGGTTAATCTATAAAAAAATATTTTTGTTAATAATTTTGGGTGTCTGAAAGAGATTAATTGAATTTACATTTTTTTCCTTAAGGGAAAAATGAATTCAGAAATTGTCAGATTTGGGTTTAGTCACTCTCTCTGGAATGGATTAATTACAATAAGCGGGGGTCCACTGTATTTAATTTTATTCTACTTTTTTCTCTTAGTTTTTAATGTCTTATTTTTCCAAGTAACTTTTATTGTTTATGAGATCAATATAAGGTATACTGTATATACAGTTGAACCTCTTCTTACTTGTGTATCCATGTGGGAGTCTTTCCAGATACGAGCAGTTGCTCAGTTGATTTTTTGCTTCCAGACGCAAGCAAAATTTCCAGATGCAAGCTTGCCTCAAGGGAGGTTTCTTGATGCTGGTGAGGGGCTCTTGCTCTTGATCTAGAGAATTGGATCTCATTTGTTTGTTGGACTATCTAATTGAAATTTGGGCAATGTATGATAGAAAGATGCTTCTTAGCTTTTTTTTTTTTTTTTTTTTCAACAAGTCGGCCGTCTCCCACCGAGGCAGGGTGACCCCAAAAAAAAAAGAAAATCCCCAAAAAGAAAATACTTTCATCATCATTTAACGCTTTCACCTCACTCACACATTATCACTGTTTTTTGCAGAGGTGCTCAGAATACAACAGTTTAGAAGCATATACATATAAAGATACACAACATATCCCTCCGAACTGCCAATATCCCAAACCCCTCCTTTAAAGTGCAAGCATTGTACTTCCCATTTCCAGGACTCAAGTCCGACTATATGAAAATAACCGGTTTCCCTGAATCGGACCATAAATAATGGAGTTCACTTCTCAGCCATTAGCCGCCCTTTAGCGGTATTTTTGTATGATTTTTATGGTTGTATTCTTGTTTTTTTGGTCTCATTTTATAGAATGGAAAATATATTACAGAAATAGATATGATTTTGATTGGTTTCACAACAAAAAGTACCTTGAAATTGAGCTCTAAGTAGCAGAAATGTTCGATTCTTTGGCGATGTTCAAGAGTAAACAAATGATGTTACTGTCCATTCTAATATGCAGTCATGAATGGGTTGACATTAATTATGCAATTATTACAATAATGCAGTAGTCTGCATAACAGTAAATTTTCTATTTTTTGTGTGAATAAAAATTACAAATTATTTATACTGTAATAATAATAATAATAATAATAATACATATAATAATAGCATAATATAATAATAATAATATAATACATATAATAATAATACATGTATAATAATAATAATGTACTATATAATAATAATTTTGATAATAGACAGCTTCAAAATGCCATCACTAGATGGCAATGATTACCACAACAATGTGTGAGCAGTTCTGACCACCTCCACCTTGTTCACATAATGACATATATTCATTCTAGAGTACTTATCAGGTTTCTATGTTATTTATATTGTTTATTATGTCATATTAGATGAATTGTAATAGATAAATAAGCTGTATAGATGATATTAGCAAAATATTGAAGTATCTTGCTGTGCCTCCTGAGAGCTGGAATGGATTAATTACATTTCATTTAATTTAAATGGGGAAAACTGACTCTGCAAATGAGCAAATCCAGATGCCAGCAAGGTCACGGAATAGATTAAACTCATAAGTAGAGGTTCCACTGTATATTCAATGGTTGTATACAACACAATAACCCCACAAGCATTATCATTATATTGTTTACAAAACATGTTTACACAAACCAACAATAAAAAATGTTACTTCTCTTGTTGTATAATATACATGTATATACAGTGGTACCTCGGATTTCATATGCCCTAATTTGTTTGTAAAACTATAGTTATTCTCTATAAAATATATTTTTAGATAATATTTTTGGGTGTCTGGAATGGAGTAATTGGATTTACGTTATTTCTTATGGGAAATATTGCTTCCGTTTTCATACAATTTAGTTCATCGTCAGACTTTCTCAAACGGATTAATCATGAAAACCAAGGTTTGACTCTACATAAATATAGTCACTGGACATGTTCCTAGAAGTGCTACAGCTTGGGAAAGGTTGTGTTTGGGTGGCCTTTGTTATCAATGTGCTGAGTCATCGGCATGGCTGGTGTCACAATGATGCATTACAAAATCACCACCACCCATTACCCATACCTCTTCCCCAACAACCATGCTGTTTTCCACACCACCCATATGGAAATAAGTCACTTTGACTTTTTTTGTGTTATCCTAGGTTGATGGTCATCTGGGCCATCCTTCCTTCCATACTTCCTTACTTATTCCTTCCTTCCTATATTCCTCTCATCTTTTTCTTCCTTTCTTTCTTCCTTTCTTTCTTTCTTCCTTTCTTTCTTCCTTTCTTCCTTTTAGTTTCCTGGGCATTGGTCACAAACTCCTCAAAACCATGAAAATCATCTTCACTGACACTTCCATCTGTGTTTGAACTATCACTTGCGAACAGAAGTGTTCCAATTCGCCGGGGAATGAGGAGTTTCTTACCACAAGGTGTACTGAAATGGCGTTCCCACAATGCAATGAGGGTGCACCGAATTTTTTCACACTCCGCACACTGAGTGCACAGACACATTCTCTCACGTGCAGGACTACCAGCTTTCTCCTGCTAGATTTGAAGTCGCTAGAAGTTTGGCATAGTATTATGGGACCAACACTGGCTCTCAAGTCGTAATATTATGGGACCAACAGTAAAAGGGTTAAGCACAACACATCATAACAATGAACTACAATTACATTATCCTTTTCATTTTTTTTTTTTTTTTTTACAATTTGGAGACCTAAAAAAAAAAAAAGTTTGATTCTCGGGGGTCTAAAGAATGCAACCCTATTTTTCCCATAAGTTCTTTAGTTTGCTTTACATGAGTTTGTCTTACACTTAAATTTCAGGAACGTAACTACTGTGTTAATCGATGGTCTACTGTATTATATTTACTGGAAAATGCTGCACTTATGCAGTGCCTGGGGAATGTTAGGTAATCATGATCAAAGTGGAGGGTAGCTCCAATTCCTTGGATAAAGAGCACTTCACTAGCATAAAGGTTCCTCCATCCTGAAGGGTGAAGTTCATACAACCACAATAGTGCAGGGACACCAGAAACTACCTTATGGCCACTTATCATGCAGGAAGTACCACAGGGTCAGTCAGAAAGCCACTGCCTAGCCCACAGTGGCAGTGGCATGCAAGAGTAAGCACATCCTCATCATAACATGATGTTTTAGTCTTAAAAAGCTAGACTACACTCTAGCATGTATTCTTGCCAACTCAAAAGGCTTGTAATCCTACTCACTGGTGATTCTTACCTCAGGTCTAGCAGTGCCAGCTGCTCAGCTCCTGTGCAGTACAACCTATCAATTATTCTCACCTGAAGCAGTAGTGCATATGTTGATCCAAGTGATGGCACAAACTTAGCATTCTTCTTCACTTCCAGCTGTTCAATGGACAGCGAGATTTTCTGCAAATGATCAACCCAGTCCATCATGTTAATGAGAAATACAACTCCATTTTCATACAGCTGACCAATGTGAAAATTAACCCATTCAAAACTTATGTCAACAAATGGTTTGGGAGTTTCCTTCAGCTTGTCACTTGATTCTGTTACAGATTTTTGTGCAACATAAGTGAAAGGAACTTTCCCTTCCTTTTTCATGTCCTTTGTTGGAAGTACACTTATAAATTTTCCCGAGTCTTCTAGTAGATCCGTGATTGACAACACTGGTATTTCAAGTGCATTCTCTTCTCCTATTTCATAAATCTGTAAAATCTGCCAGATATAAATAAGATACAGATCTGAAGGATTCCCTTTATCAGAAAATGTTTCCTGGAATAATTTCTGTGAATCTTGTGGTGTCATTCGTGCAATATGAGCCTTGATATTCTTATCCTTCTGTTGATACTGAAGCAACTTACTGATGGACTCTTCTCTGTACCTGGTTTCCTTGATGAATACATTAACCATTGTTTTGTAAAGATTCTGGACAAAGTTATTATCCCTAATAATACTAATAGACATTCTGTCAATCTGGCTAGTAATGACATCCCTGACATGAGGAATTATGCATTCAAGAAATTCATTAATCTTCGTTAAGTCAGTATTCAAGTCAAGAACTGAATGTGCATAATTTACAAGACTACTTAAAAAACAATTTGCCAAATACTTGTCATTTTTCAGGGCAATGGAAAACTCTGACAAATTTTTATCCAAATCTTCAAAACAAGTTAATGATTTCATATGACTGAAGTGAATTTCAAGTCTAGAAGCATATTTGTTTTTCTCAATTGATACTGCTGCTGCTGCTGCTGCTGCTGGTGTGTGACCACTCTGAACTTTTATTCTCAAGTGGAATATATTAAGCTGCTCTTGAAGTTTCTGAAATGAACTTTTCTTATCAATGGTACTACTTCTAAGATCTCTGTCACTGCACACCATGATGCCACTGTTTAAGCTTCTCTCTCTCTCATCCAGATATTTCTTAAACAAAGTATCTTTTTCTAAATTATAAGTTTCTTGTTCAGCATTTGAACTATACAAATTATGCACTGGGAATATTTTCTTGCAGGAAAATTTATTTTCTGCTGTTTCTTCAACTAATGTATCTGAGACTTTAGGGAATGTCAACAACTCTGTGCTTGTATTAGCTGCCTCTACATCATGGCTCTTCAAACGTGGGTAACCATAATCAGTGGAAAATGTGTCTGATATGTAAGCTCCTTCACAATCACTTGTAAGTGACCAATTCTCTTGAAAGGTGAATGTTGATAATACTTCCTCTGAAAACAAGGCTTGTGCTGGTTCAAGCCCTCTGTCAAATTCCCTCTCATCACTCACATTATCTTTCTTATTCTCTAGTACACAAGGTATATACCCACTGTTTTCTCCTTGCACATTATTCACCTTTGGCAAATCACTTTCTCTTTGCATGAGCCCAAGGAGGCGAGAATAACTGGAAGAGTTTGCTTTATCTCTTAAAGGAATCAATGTGCATGGTGAAGAAACGTTTGTTCTGTCTGACAGAGAACTTCTTGTGCTCTTTGTGTCAGTCTCCAATAGTTCACAAATATCTTGAACATCTCTGTTTGGATCTTCACAGTGAAGATCATTTACTTCTTTACTATGCTTTCTCAAGTCTTCTGATGCTTTTTCAACAACAGAGAAGTCATTATTTCCATCCAGAATTATTTTATGTAAGCTCGTTTGAGTATGATGCAAACCCACTTCCTGCAGATCATCCTGCATAGAAAACAGGTGATATTCTGGTGCCATGGCTTTATCTTCATAGTCGCTAAAATCATCATCAGAATCCATCATTCCTCAATAAGCCTGAAATGAAAAGCAAAGAAGGTTAAAAGAATCATAAAATAAAAATACAGAGCTCAATAAAAAATTTCAGTGTACTTGGGTTGCTTCATACATGAGTGGGTGAAGGTGAGTTAGACCTAGCATATGCCAATAACTCTGTACTCCTCTGTTTTTATGAACTGTATTCTAAATTCACTTATTTCTATTAATCATAGTTCTTCTGCAAATAAACTCAAGTATTCACTGACTTTTAAATGATGCTCATTTTATTTTGTTAAAAAGCATTATCATTTAATTTCCCATGCATAAATCTGTTTTTTGCTAGACATTCATATTAAATCAATATTAATGGTGTTAGAGTAATATTTAAAAGATATGGCCTCTGAAACCAAATTAATTATAGCAGCAGCAGTTAGTGATCATCCCAGGTGCTGGATTTGCTGGGATCTCTAGGATTGTATCTCCCACAAATCTGTAAGAAGTACTGCTCAAAATACAACAAATTATAGAAAAAATAAAGGCTACACACCTCCCTGTCAGAGCAACACCTTCCCCATCACAAAGACAGAAAGTAACAGCCATAAACTTACTCAAATTAGTAACCCAAGAGGGTTAATCTAGAGTAACCCAAAGAAAGCCAAGCAGTTTGGCTTATTTCTTTATAGATTCTTCCCCAGACTGTAAGCTACTAAACCCTGGGTGTATACAGTAGGGCCCCTAATTATACGGCAGGTTAGGTTCCAGGCTACTGCCATAAAGCAAAAATTGTCATAAGGTGAGTCAGCCTTTTTTTCACTTTCAAATGCATATAAAAGCCTGATAAAATGTTTATGCAGGTCGGCCATCACTACTCCGGCATCACTGGGACCTGTAATGTACCGGATTAGTGAGTTTGCCGGATTACAGAGTAGTTAGAATAGAATGCACTTAATTAACCTATCAACAGAAACTCCTGCTACTTCTTCCTCATTTTCATCACTGCTTTCTCCTCCACTGGCTTGCTGATGTGAATTTACAACCATCTGCACAATTTCTGAGTCAGTATAATGATGAAATTTGAGTTAGTACAGTGGACCCCGGTATTCGATGGCATCGGTATACGATAAATCCAGTATTTGATGCATTTTAACGCAAAAAATTTTGCCTCGGAATCCGATTGAAAACCCGGTATTCGATACGATTCGTACGAGACGTGTCCACGTGTGGCCTGAACTGCCCCTTGTGTGCCAGTGTTTACAAGCCAGCCAGTGTGCGTGCATCTAAGGATACATTCAGTACATTCCATATTATCCATATTATCACTGTTTTTGGTGCTTGTTTCTGCAAAATAAGTCACCATGGGCCCCAAAAAAGCTTCTAGTGCCAACCCTGTGGTAAAAAGGGTGAGAATTAGTATGGAAATTAAGAAAGATTTTGAAGGGTTTGGGGCTAATCCTGAGAAGCCTATGCCAGTTGTGGAATCCATTGTGCCTACTTCAAAAATTAAGGAAATGTGTGCACAGTGCGTTGAAGTGCAAACCTTTATGGATGAAAATCACCCTAACACAGCTATTGCAAGCCGTGCTGGTGACTATTACAATGACAATGTTGTGGCCCATTTTAGACAAATCGTAAAGGAACAGGAGGTACAGAGCTCTATAGACAGATTTGTTGTGCGACAGAGGTCCAGTGACTCTCAAGCTGGTCCTAGTGGCATTAAAAGAAGAAGGGAAGTAACCCCGGAAAAGGACTTGCTACCTCAAGTCCTAATGGAAGGGGATTCCCCTTCTAAACACTAACACCATCCACACTCTCCCCTCCTCCCATCCCAACAATTATCACCAGATCTTCAATAAAGGTAAGTGTCATGTAACTGTGCATGTCTTCTTCAGTTTGTGTGTATTAAAATTAATATTTCATGTGGTAAAATTTTTTTTTTCATACTTTTGAGTGTCTTGCATGGATTAATTTGATTTCCATTATTTCATATGGGGGAAAATTGATTCGCTTTTCGATATTTTCAGTATTCGATGAGCTCTCAGGAAAGGATTAATATCGAATACCAGGGGTCCACTGTATAATGATTTGAGTCAATATAATGATGAAATTTGAAAATATGCTAGCCAAAATAAGTGCCAGATTACTGATGGAAACACAAATAACCCACACATAGAAGAGAGGAGCTTACGACGATGTTTCAGTCCGACTTGGACCATTTACAAAGTCACACTAACGAAAAGGAGAGCAGGATGGGTATATATAGGCAGGAGGTGGAAGTAGTACAGGTCCTCCATCACAATTCCGGCATCATTGGGACCTGTAGCGTGCCGTATTACTGAGTTTGCTGAATTACAGAGTGGTTATGTTAGAATACACATAATAAAATTAACCAACTTGACTTATACAGTTCATTGAACATCGGCAAAAATCGAACATTTCCGCTACTTTGAGCACAATTTCAAGGTACTTTTCATCATGAAAGCAATCAAAATCATGTCTATTTCTGTAATATATCTTCCATTCTATCAAATGAGTCCAAAAAATGAGAATACAACCATAAAAACCATACGAAAATATACTGCAAAGAGGCAGCTAATGGCTGAGAAGTGAACTCCCTTATTTATCATCCGTCTTTTTTATTTTTGTTGTACGTTAAAAAGCATCTTTCCATCATACATTGCCCAAGTTTCAATGAGATAGCCCAACAAACAACCGAGAAAAAAAATATATTTACCAAAAATCATATATGGCAAGCCCAAGCCAGGCACTGGAAATAAGTCACTTTGTCTGACTTTTCTGGGTTATCCTAGGTTATCTATACATACACTGCTATGTATGATAGTCTATGTAACTGTATTTGTGTATACCTGAATAAACTTATTTACTTCTAGTCTGTCAACTGAGTACAAGAAACCGCTCATTCACTTATTTCAACTACCCAATAAAGTGGTCAGAAATTGGCAATTTGGGCCGATGTAACACAAATTTCAACAGACGCCAATTTCAAAATAGGTCCAGAATAAACAATGCAGACATTTCCTGGCACTAAAATAACATTTTCTCTTTCATTACTCAGGGCTACAGCCCCCTCTTATATTACTCTTGCTTCCCATTTGGAATTTTTATTCGCAAAAAAAAAATCACCTCCCACCCACTTAGACCTTTTGATTATGCCCCCCGCTCAATTTTACAACTGTTTTTATACCAAAATTTTGGGAAAATAAAAAACCATTTTGTTGTACACAGTGTTTTTTTCCTAAACCATACATATAAAATACAGACTACCAGAAAAAAGAAAGTAAAACATAAAATCCCAAAAAAAACAATAAAATAAAGTCATTAAAAAAAATGTTTTTTTTGATATTCAGTAGAAAATTTCGACTTACGAATTCGATTTACGATGGTTTCTGGAACGAATGGGTCGTAAGTCGGGGGTAGGGGATGATTTCTTGTTATGCAGATCGCATTATTTAATAATTGATAAAAAAATGTCAACCATTCTTTACTCCGTACTGGAATTTTGACTGGCAGGCAGACCGGTATTGGCGTGACGTCATTTGTTTTTCTTTGACTTTGCTAAAGAATAGAAAATTTTTGCTATTGGAATGCAATTTCAAGGTACTTTTCGTCATGAAAGCATCAAAATCATTCTATTTTTTGTAATATATCTTTCATTCTAACAAATGGGCCAAAAAAATGAGAATATAAAACCCTAACAACCATACAAAAATATACCGCTAAAACGGCCACTAATGGGTGGAAGTGAACTCCCCTATTATAGTCTGATTTCTTTCTTTTTGGGGTAATGAAGAAATAATTTTCCACATACTTTCCCAAGTTTGAATAAGATAACCAACAAACAAATGAGAAAATAATAATAAAATAATAATAATAATATTAAAAAAATAATTTTAAAAATAATAATATAATAATAATATTAATAAAAATAATATCTTTATTTCTACACGTACATTTTCAAAGGTATAAGGCCCCTGACACCCCGTGAATATACTGTATGAAAGGACTTGTTAGCGATATTTTAAGAAAATTAGGTCATGTCCCCGGGAAAAACCCACACTAGTCGACTAACACCCAGGTACCCTTTATGAGGGTAAACATGACAAAAGGTGTAAAGAAACACACCCAATTTTCTACCCTGGCTGGGAAAATTTAAAATTTAAACCAAAAAATCTATCGGCTAAAACAAAACCGGGACTAAAAAAAAGCCGCATTGACTTTTTTGGGGTTATTAGGGTTCTCTACAAATATTACCTGGGGTTTCCGGGGAGAGTTCCGGGGGGCAACGCCCCCCTGGCCCGGTCTGTGACTAGGCCATATTGCTGCATTGTGATAATCATAGAAAGAAAATAACTTTTTTTTTTCATTTTTGGTGGAGTACGAGTGTATACATAGTTTGCCCCGTGCATACTTTGTTTTCTCTAAATAAGCCCCCCAAAACCAAAAAATAGGGGAAAGGATTGTTTTTCCAACCCTTCGTAAATCGTCGAAGCTCGGTGTTTTGCCAAATATTTTCATTCTGGGGAATTTAACAGTTTTATGTTATTTATATTTTTTTTTTGAATATTGATCAATTGGAAGGCAAAAAGCTGTAGTGTTGAATTTAGCATAATAAAAAGATATTCTCCTGCTTTATGAGGCTGGTTCATGACAACCAACAGGGGGTTCAAAGCACCTTACTTTATTGGGGTAATGTACTTTTG